TTGTTGACAATTAAATCGCTGAAGATTTTGTGGTCGAAGTCAAATCCAACAACAGTGTGTTTATTTTCTTTTTGCCAATTGTTAGGCCATATCCCATCACAGTCTAACAATCCAAAAGAGAATATTGCCAAATCATTGGCCAGTTTTCAGAATGGCTAACCCTTTTATTACTATGGAACTTTCAATGCTTAATTGTAACAAGTGAGGCATACTTTTTCTTGAATCAGTGGCTTATGGCTATTAAGAATTCCTTCTCTAAAGAAATGGGAAGAGAAAAACTTTTTTAGTAATTGAATGTCAAAAGCAAGAAAATCATTCCAAGGGACTGAGTTCACATCTGTCTTTCAGGGCAGTTGTCATTTGCCCAGTGCACTGCTGTTGTCTCTCATTTGGCACCTCAACTCCCAGCTTAAGCAGCAGTTATTTGTGTCAGGTGTGGAGTGATTGCCTCTGTCTGGTGATGGTCTGCCTGGGCCAGTTATCTAAATTCACCCTCTGGCCTTGTCCCCGAGTGGAAAGCTCTGACTACATCAGTGGAAGGACTGACCATCCGTTGCCAGCCCTTTTGTGATGTTATTAATGCTCTCCTTCTGCAGAGAATGTGGATTCTTATTTCATTTTGGAGGGGCATTTTGTACTTTTATTATTATTATTAAGTCAGGTTAGGTTCTAGTTTCATCTCTTAGAAGCCTACTAAAAAGTAAATGCGGTGCCAGCAGAGAACAAGTTGAGAGGAGAGGCTTTCTTGCCTCCTGGGTAAGAATAGTGTGCTATCTCAGGACCAGTTCTCCGGTGATAACTTCTGTCTCTTCCAGAGTCAGAAATGCAGTTCAGTATCTCTTGGCCTCTTATAAATTCCTATTTTTACATAGCCGGGTCTTGCTTATACAGTTACTACACAAGTCTTGTTTCTGTTGGGTTCCTTGGTGCATTTTTTATGCCATTTACTCAATCTTATTTAGATATATTTCACAAGACAGCACTGTAATTAAGGCTGAAGTGAGACTTTTACAACCCAGGGTAGCTTAAATGATTTTCTTAATTCCCTAAAGATGTGAGGGGCTTCCCAGGTGGCTCAGTGGTAAAGAATCGGCTGGCCAGTGCAGGAGACATGGATTATATCCCTGGGTCAGGAAGATCCCCTGGAGGAGGTATTGGCGACCCACTCCAGTGTTCTTGCTTGGGAAGTCCCACGGACAGAGGAGCCTGGCAGGCTACACTCCATGGGGTGGCAAAAGAGTTGGACACAACTGAGCGACTCAACAACAACAACAAAGATGTGAGACATGAGCCGTCATATCCACTCCCTATCACTCCCCTTCTTTTCCTCCAACCCTCCATTCACCTGCCCCAGCCTAACACTTCTGGAAGCAGAATTATACACCCAGATTTTTCACCTCACCTACCTACTCCAATCCATTATCTTAGCCACATCTTATAAACCACATTCCTATGAAGGAGCAGTGCTTCTGCTGGTGAAGCAAGCAGTCCTTCAAGATCCATTAATATCTTCAGATCATTTTCCCCTTCATTCAAAGCAAAGCCATGAAAATGAACTAGGGACTTTCTTATGGTAACCCAGAGAACCACTGTTCGTGTAGATGATGCCCAACTTTTTATGCAAAAATTTTTCATCTAAGACATTTAAATGTATCCCATCTTAAAAGGCCTCCAAAGAAGAATGTTCAACAATGTATGAATGAAGTTAAGGCATCAGAACACATGAAATTCAAAGTTTAATTTTGATCTTTTCCACTTTCTGTACTTGGTATTTCAACCTAGTAGATAATCCAATTACCATTTACTTTCTCATTTTAATGAAGTAGGAAGGAAACAGCTTTTGTTCATTTATTCATTAATTCAGCTAAGGATTGAGAGATATAAACATTAAGTTTTGTAATTTCAGTTTCTTGTTTTCTTTGACTTTTAAACAAATTCTTCTGAGCAATTTCTTTGTACCTGGATCCAATAGCTTCAACTTCACCTAGGGCAATTTGCATTTTTTGTATGAGGCACTCAATTTTAAGATTAGTAAGGAAATAAATATTAGAATTCTCTTCTATGTTATTAGACAATAAGAAAATGAGCATCAGAATTCTCTTCTATGTTATTCTCTGTATATTTTTCAATGGAGTACCTTAGGATTTGCTATAGACAACAGTGAATTAGCCTCTATTTATGGAGAAGTCTGACAGGCTTATTCTTCAATAAGATAGCAGCAAAACTTGACAACAACTTGGAGTTTACTGAAAGGATCCAGATGTAAGCTTCCCTTTCTAGGAGAATTTACCTGGAAGTATACTATATATAGTATATACTATCAAGAAAGTATATACAGTCTATGAAAAAGCTTATAGAAATAAGATTATTTACATAATATATATTATTTCTTTTAGTACATTGGTATTGTGACATTCTAACTTATAATGGTATAGGATGACTTTCTTTCTTTCCTTCTTTCTTCTTTCCTTCCTCACTTTCTTTGTTGCTTTATTTTTTACTATAGAATTAGTGTTAGAAGAGAAATTATGTACCCTAGTGGCTTTATGGTTACTCAAGGTCAGTGCTAAATTGTGTTTCTAACTATGGAAAACTTTAGCACTTTGTGTATGTTTTAAAATACCTGAGTTTCATAGTTTCGAGAAATTTTAATACAAAATAAGACACATATATCTGAATACATTCTTATTGTAGGTATTCCAATTTTAGATATTCTAATTGATCCCAATTAATTATGAATACTGTTCACTTTCACTGAATTTTGAATCTGATTTTTCACTTTTTCATTACTTGGTAAAAGCAGTCAAAAGGAATTAGCACATGGAAGAATTCTACAGTGTTTCGGTTCAATAACTTTACTACCAGAATTTGAAATTAGTCTGACAGCTCAACTTATCATTAAGATGATATACACTTTCATCTCATTCAATATGTATGGTAATTATATGAAAATTTAGATTGTTCACATTTATGTTATATATTCTAAAGTTTAGAATAAAATAGACTGTAAGAACTAAAATGTATGAAACAGATCACCAGCCCAGGTTGGGTGCCTGAGACAAGTGCTCAGGCCTGGTGCACTGGGAAGACCCAGAGGGATCGGGTGGAGAGGGAGGTGGGAGGGGGGATCGGGATGGGGAATACATGTAAATCCATGGCTGATTCATGTCAATGTATGACAAAAACCACTACAATATTGTAAAGTAATTAGCCTCCAACTAATAAAAATAAATGAAAAATAAATAAATAAATAAAAATAATTAAAAAATAAAATGTATATTGGATCATCTGTATATATCCCACCTCTTACAGATTAAAAAATGAGAATTGGAAAAAGTAAGGAGTGGTACCAGAGTCAGTCACAGGCAGGGACTGGACCTCTCTGTCATAACTTCCACCTGGGCTCTGTTTTCTCCACCAAGTTCTGCTATCCATTATAAACCTCAGTAACTTTTAAATGGCCTTCCCTCATGGCTCAGATGGTAAAGAGTCCTCCTGCAATGCAGGAGACCTGGGTTCAATTCCTGGGTTGGGATGATCCCCTGGAGACGTGAATGGCTACCCACTCCAGTATCTTTCCTGGAGAATTTCATGGACAGAGGAGCCTGGCAGGCCACAGTCTATGGGGTCATTTATTGATATGAGCCAGATTCTATTGCTCACATAGAAATAGCTATCCACAAAACTTTCCTCCAAATAGTTATTTCCTTAGCTAAACTTAAGTATAATCAGAGCAGTATTCTAAAACTAACATGATAACATTATTAATAGAGGTAATAATAACCATACTGTTAGCAATCCATTAAAATGGCCTTAACATTCTATATCAATTATAGTTTAAAAAGTAGTTTCTCTCATTTTCATATTGGAAACATAATTCCCCATATTACCATATTGATTTATTATTAATAGTTTAGAAGCCTAAAAGACATTTACTAAATAAGCAGCAAAGTTTTAAATATTCAGTGGTAAGCCTGGCACTATGCTAAGCAAATGTTTACAGTATCACCCCCATGCATTCTTTTTCAATTAAATTTAACATATGTAACATTATAAAATGATATGTTATAACATTGTTCAAGTGCTAGTAATGCAAACAAAATTTCTTTTCACTCAGGGATTTTAAATTCTTCGTGTACATGTTCAGGTATATATTTTACTCTGTAAAATTTAATACTTTTGGAATTGGTTATTAATAATAACTGCTAAATGATAAATCCAAACCTGATACATCAACATAAAAAGAATAACTGATTATTGAAGGAAATATAATTATCTACATTTAAATCATGAAATTAATGTCTCTTCCAACTCACTTTTATTTCCTCCTTCACATTTATATTTCCCTTAAGGTAACATAGAACTTTTATGACATAGAATATGAAGATAAAGAAAATGTTAGGAGGAGCCTGTTTTTGTGCCTAGGTAAATAATTAAGCAATCAAATACAAGTTCCTATGACATGAACAGGTGAAGAGATCACAGATTCCTATCTGTTTTATAGTTATATACAATTGCACAAGTCATTTTAGCACAATTCAGTATTTGACACCATGGAAATATTTTTTCAAGAGAAATCAAATTATTTTTTGAAAAAAATCTGTATTTCCTCAAACTAATGATAATGCATTTTTGGTGCAACAGTCACTGAGTATTCTAGTAGAGTTCCTAGTGAGCTTTGCTACAAGACAATAAATCACATTTCAGGATAAATAATAATGTTTATGTTTTGCTTAACATAGGAGCATTTGAGCTTAGGACATGGAGAATATATTTTCAAATTGGCTTGGTTTATCGGCTCCAACTGTAATATTATTATATTTGCCTTACTCCAGGAGATATTTTTGGGAACATAATTTATCCCAAATAAGAGCCAAAAGAAAATTACATTTAATTTTTTTTTAAAAGGGAAATTGAGACAGCATGTCACTTGAAAATTGATCTTTTCACAGATTGTTAAGGCTCATAAGCTTTTCTGTAAATAAGAAAACATTACTTACTGTAATTATTCTTCATCTCTTGTGTCCCTTTTACTTTGCCTCGTTTATCAATCCTCAGATACCACTGTGTTCGACAAAAGAGTCTTCTCACTCTTATATCTCCTCCTTCCATGTAATCATAACTTCTTGTATGTCGCTCGGGGCTGGAACAGTTCACATTTGTAGCCATTTGCTCTGGAGTCATGTCATTGCAAGCTAAAGATATAGTGCCCACCAGACAGATAATGTGGAAGCATGATCTGTAGAGCAAACTTGGCAGGATCCATGTCAGTATCCATTTGCGCATTATAGTATAGTGCTCCGGGTGTTCATGAATAACATAATGAAAATTAAATCTTGAGTTGATTGTTGCTCCTAGGTCATTGACCTCTTCCTATCTGTGAACTGTAGATTGGTTTAAGGAAGAGCAGTTGCACTCTCCAAATTGTTAGCCTTATCCTTTTAGTTCCTGAGAGCAGTATAAGAGTCCTCCTTAAATAACTCTCTGTTGGTATATCCTTATAAAAGCAGGCTGTAATAACCTCAGTTGCTGAGATGCTGTTTGCTACTTGACTTCTGTTTGCAATGAGAGATGAAGAATGGAAAGGGAGGAGAGAGAGGAAGATGAAAAGTGGTTTTACAAATTTCAGTGGGCAAATACTGTTAACAACATACTGTGTAATTCTTACTGTGAGGGTACGTTTAAAACAGTTTTCACAGAGGATGTCAGGGCCCTTACCACTCTATTTGTAGACTTATAAAAGTTCTATATTAGTAGAGGTTAATCTGAACATGATTGTACCATTCATTCCAGTCCCTATTTGATAAGAAACATCTGGCAATTTAGAGCTGTTGATTTAAATTCAGTTCTAAAGTTACTATTAACAAAATATAAATGCTTTTTCCTAGATGTCTTTATTCTTTTACAGTTGTGGTTTGACAGTTATTTTCTTCTGAACTGCCCACAGTTCTCAAGTTAAATGTCAGAATTGCTCTGGAGAATTTCAACCTTATCTTTATGTAAGTTCTATAACGTAATTACTGTAGATAATCACACGGCTCAAAAGTCTGGTAACTTTACTTTTCCCCTCAGTACTAAAACCAGAGAAACAGATAAACGACTAACAAACATTTAGCATTATTTTTAAAGACAAGTAACAGTCACTTACTTGTTCTGTTGATAACAGCTGGATACACAAGAATTCCATGTCTGCTGTCTGCCCTGTGCAACTTGAGCCTCTCTACTGTAGCTACAAACTATTTCTCAGCTGAGAAATTCTCCAGCGGAATCATAATTGTTTCCATAAATCAACAGCAGGCAAGAGGATTGTCTCTGTGTGTGTGAGCACATGTGAGCTTGTGTGTATGTGTGTGGAGCCTTTTATTCAGAGCTTTTCGATAAATACCTTTGCTGACCTCATTGGAAGCAATTAAAACTTAACCAGTGAGCTGTTAGTTGAATACAACAGCGAGAATAAAAGAGGCTTGTATAGTATTCATTCAGTGGTCATGAGAGGGAGCTATGAACATGGTTTATGCTCACATCTACAAATGGGTACCTACTTTGTAGAAATAAATCTCTGATTCTGAAGCAGTTAGAAGGGGAAACAGAATTTTTTAGCTTTTCTCATAGCAGCTGAAATAAGTTGAAAAATATTGTTTTGACCATATATGTAAAGAGATCTTTTAACAGGAAATCTTTTATATAGATTTATGAAGCATACATTGCTACTATTATTCCTTGTGTTCAGAATGTTAGAATAAAACTCCTAATATGTATTAAGTCACACCTTAGTGTCTTCAAGAAGTGTATAGCTAAGTTAAGGGTATATCTCTTCATATAGAGATATTTCAGCATTGCTTATAACTTTATGTCTTATGTTCCTAGACTGAAAGTAAGAATAACAATATTCTTACTTGAGTTGAGCCACTAATTACCAGTATGACTTTGGACAAGTCACTTGATGTTTCTGAATCTCAGCTACAACACTTGTAAAATTAGTCTAGATGATTCTATGGTGCCTTGTAGTTTTAAAATTCTGTGACTTGTTACTTAACCTACTAAGATCAGAAAGAGGATACATACTTTTAAAATTATTATTCTTAAAAATTAAAAATAAAGAAAAATTTATATGGTTTTATGTTGGTTATCAATGGTTGACTCTTGTCCTCAGTAAGAACATTGATGCAATAAATATATGTTCATTTAAGGATGGAATTTTAAGAGGTATAGCTCATGTGAAAAAGAGAATGCTATTTTGCTTTCCACCATGAGTTATTCTCCCTTTTTTTTAGCATGTATATATTAGTTTCCTGTTCTAGCATGTATTTATTAGTATACTAGTTTCATTAGGTATTTGCTGCAAAATAATTGCATTGTTAATCTAAAGCAATATTTAGGAATACATATTAGCATTCTATTTCCCATGTTAATACTCTCAACACACACACACACTCACATGGACATGCGCGCGCACGCACACATACACACACACACACACATTAACGTTCTATTTCCCATGTTAATACTCTCAACACACACACACACACACACACACACACTAACGTTCTATTTCCCATGTTAATACTCTCAACACACACACACACACACACACACACACACACACACACACACACACACACACACACACACACACACACACACACACACACACACACACACACACACACACACACCACTTGAAATGCACTGCTTTACCACCAGGTGGTGCACATAGACCAAATAGGAAAAGAAAATAAAGTAATACATTCAGTTGTATTATAAATTATATTATAATTTCCCTTTGTGTCTATGCTTTGGAGGAACAGAATCAAAAGCACAGCATAGTTTAAATTTACTCAATTACTCTTTAGGCACCAAATATGACTTTTCTAAGTTTATTAAAGCAGAAGGAGATGACCCTTCTATAATTGCCTCTGTTGAAAGCTAGATGACTACAGAATATTCCATCATGTATTTCTCTAAAAGGAGGAAGAGAGAAAAAAGAAAATATGATGTACTGTGTTATAAATCATATCTCCATTAGTTTTGTAGGCAACATTAATGAGCAGGGTTAGAACTCCTAGGACTTGGATAGTCCTTCTAAAGAAATGAAAATTATTAGCAGCTAATTTACATGTAGATATTCAAGAGCTACTAAATTCATCTATTCCACATTGACCCTACAGATTTTACACTAAGAAATCATGGAGTCAAAGTCAAAAGTTGCTAAGTAAGTGCTCAAGACTTAAATTCAAAAATGGATTTTCTTTTATGAAGAGTACTCAGTGCCTCATTTGTTGTATAAGGTTAATTATAAAATTAAAATTAGAAACAAAGTAAATATGAAATTGTAATCTGTGTACTCTAAGTTCATTGTTGTTGTTCAGTCGCTGTCATGTCTGACTCTTTGCGACCCCATGGACTGCAGCACGCCAGGCTTCCCTGTCTTTCACTGTCTGAGTTTGTTCAAACTCATGTCCATTGAGTCACTGATGCCATCCTACCATCTCATTCTCTGTTGCCTTCTTCTCCTGCTGCTTTCAGTCTTTCCCAACATCATGGTCTTTTCCAGTGAGTCGGCTCTTCCCATCAGGTGACCCAAGTATTGGATTTTCAGCTTCAGCATCAGTCCTTCCGATGAATATTCAGGATTGATTTCCTTAGGATTGATTGATTTGATCTCCTTGCAGTCCAAGGGACTCTCAAGCATCTTCTCCAGCACCACAGTTCAAAAGCATCAATTCTTTGACATTTAGCCTTCTTTTTGGTCCAAATCTCTCATCTGTACATGTCTACTGCAAAAATCATAAAAACTTTGACTATACAGACCTTTGTTGGAAAGTGATGTGTCAACTTTTTAATACACTGCCTAGGTTTGTCATAGCTTTACTTCCAAGGAGCAAGCGTCTTTTAATTTCATGGCTGCAGTCACCATCCGCAATGATTTTGGAGCCCAAGAAAAGAATATATGTCACTGCTTCCACTTTTCCCCATCCATTTGCTATGAAAGGATAGGACTGGATGCCATGATCTTAGTTTTTTGAATGTTGAATTTTAAGCCAGCTTTTTCACTCTCCTCTTTCATCCTCATCAAGAGGCTGTTTAGTTCCTCTTCACTTTCTGCCATAAGAATGGTATCATCTACATATCTGAGATTGTGATATTTTTCCCAGCAATCTTGAGTTCATTAGATGCCATTGTACCTTGTGATTTGAAAATATAATAGCAGTAATATTATAGTGAATAGCAGTGAATGGATTAAATCTTAATAAGGGAATATGTATCCTTTGATTATCAGTTTACATAATGCTTGCGTGCATGCTATGGGCTTACAACCTGTTTCACAAGCACCACGGCCATCATGAAGAGCCTCACTTATCTCTTATTATATTTCAAAAGGAATTCTCCAGGAACAAAAGTAACTTAGGTATCTCTAGATGGGGTAAACCCTCTGGGTTTTTTTAATCTCATTAACAAGTATTTATTGTTCTTGTTTTAATGTACACATAATGACAGGCTAAGCACATAAAATACTTTGCAGAAATGCTCTTTTGTTTTTTCCAATTTGAGTTAACTTCATTTTTAATTGGAAACATCTCTATCTCTTGATAGAAGTTGTAAAACAAAGGATTAAATTTGTAAAACAAAGCATTCTTGCATCTATTTCTAAAAGTTCACTTTTTTTCTTAATAAGTAGAGATTAGTACCTGGGATTCTTCATAAAAGAAACAGTGCTAATACTTGCCTACTTTGATTTGGTGGTAGACTATATGAAATTCAATTATGATCATATCACTCTTCTGATTATCATACCATAATGGTCTCCTATTGCTCTTAGGATAAAGATTAAACTCTGGCTTAGCCCACCAGGACCCTGCTTGCCTCTCCAGCTTTTTAACATACCAGAGTCCTTCTCATTCTCTCTCCTAGAGCCCACTGGTATTTCCTTGTTGAAAGAACTCCCACCCATCCTTTAAACTGCAGCTCTATTGGCATTATCACAGGGAAAGTTTCCTATTGCTTCTTATGGTAGACACTCATAGCACTGTGTACTTTATAGTGCTTGTCCATGATGGATGCTTTCTTTCATAAAATGAGAAATGCAAGAAAAAACAATAAAATGCTTCTTTCATCTGTCAGATTACCAAAATCCCCAATGTTTGACAATACACTATACTGAACAGGCACTATATATACTGTGAGTGAGACTGTAAAACTAGTTCAACTTCTGTGGAGAGTAAACTGGCAATATCCATTCAAATGATATGTTTATGATTTTATTCATCGTGTCATTTTTTTGTAATAGAAAAAGACTGGAAATTAAGTGTTCAACAACAGGAAGCTAGTCAAATACATTGTGATATATTCATTCAATGGGGTACTATGCAGCTGTAAAAAAAAATGACGTAATTTTCTAAATACTGAGATGGGAAGATTTTCTTTTTTTTTTATTAAGTAAAAAATACAACATGCAGAACATTGTGTATGATATGCTACCTTTTCCATAAAAAGAGAACAAGTAAAAATGTATACACACATATGTATTAAGTTTGCCTATATATGCATACAAAATTCTGGAAAGATACACCAGAAACTAAATAAATAACAATGATTACCTATAGGGAAAGGATGGAACTAGGAGGATGTAGAACAGGATAGAATATAAAAATGTAAAAGAATGAAAATATTTAATGATGTTCCCTCCTATTGATTATATTATACATACTTATGAATGTGACATAGTTTTAAAATTAGTGACTGGAATGCTAAGTCAGAGTTTGATCTTTATCCTAAGAGCAATAGGAGACCATTATGGTATGATAATCAGAAGAGTGACATGATCATAATTGTACTCTATGCCTCTATTCTGACCCAAACTAATCTAATTTCTGCCAGGAGAGTAAGTTTAGGAAATACAAAATTGTGTGCCTTTATCCTATTTTTTCTGTTATTCATATTTTCAAAAAGATACCCAAACTTTGTGATTGAAAAGGAAAGATGTAGGAGAAGAAAAAGTCACATATACCTTCCAACTTGGGTAAAGCCCAAATCTGCTTCATAGGGTTGTGCTAAATGCCCTGAAAAGAAGTGAAACATCAAAGTGTCTTTGAGAAAAATCCCAGAAAAGGTGAGTCCATAAGATCAGGCAGCATAGAGAAAAATCTATTTGGGGAGCCACACTCTACATTTCTGGTACTACCACAGCGCACAGCAGAAGCAGCAAAGCTCCAAAGAGTAAAGACTGCCTACATGTCTAAAAACAGACGGACTCATAAGCACCCCTCATAAATATTTCTCATGTTTTAAAAGACATCTGGAAAGGCAGAGAACCCAGACCTGAAGAAACTTCATGAGCAGATTCAGTAGACACCTACAAGTAACTAGAGCAGACAAAGGACACAACTGAGTCCCTTGTCTTGGGCCTGAATTCTGTCTCATCGTGAAACAGAGGAGGGAGCCCAAGAATAGTTGACATATGTTTCTACTAACCAATGGTGAGAGGTAAGCGGGGTGAAATTCTCAAGGTTGAAGCCAGGATGATTTATAAGGTTATATGTTGCCCCTTGCGTATTTGAGATTGTGATCCGAGATTTATCTCTCATCACTGTCACCAAACTGTGGATTTATTTTCATCTTTCTTCTGTCAGCCCCATTTCATCAATTCAGCCTCAACTTTGGATCATGCCATTCAACCAGTGTTACTCACTTCCTTAGTTCATTCACTTAGCTATTTATCAAATATTATTTAGTACCAGATGTTGTCCCAGACTTTCGGAGGTACAGTGAGTATTCTAGAAGTGGTCTTTGAACTTACAGAGAATGCTGTCCAGTGAGAGAACATAAACATGGCTCTTTGGCCTGTGTGTATGGCAGAGGCAGCGTGGGTGTGCATAGGATAGAAACAAGGTGTCCAAGGAGATAGGAGATAGAGGGATAAATGGATAGAAAGTTAGAAAGACCCATCTGAGGAGATAAAAGTTTGAGCTGCCTGGAACAAGACTGACGTTGGTGTGTTCCAAGAACTGAAAGAAGGCCAGTATGTTGAATGAAGTACATGAGCAATGGGAAAAGTTGTGAGAGATTAGTAAAACTGAAAAAGTAGGCAGGAGCCAGATCGTAAAGAACTTTGAAGGTCATGATAATAAGAGTTAGAGGTTATTCTAAGTGTAACAGGAAGCTGGGGTACAGGCAGGTCTACTTATAAACCTTATAGACCTGGGCAAAGGCGCTAGTTAAACTCCAAAGAAAAATGTCAAAAATAATTGAGCAAGTGTGGGGGTTTCCTATAAATCTTCAGTCATGCAAACTTTGTGCTTACACTTATGCCCTAACATTTTAAAGCTAACTGTATATAAGATACAAAGTCTGAGTCATATGCTCAAAATTGTGTGCCTGTGACTCAACTATATAAATATCTCAGTTTACAAGTGTATCTAGATTCTTTGTGTCTCTTGCTTGAGTCTATAAAAAATTGTTGTTTAATTTTACATTTATAAAAAGTTATCTAATATGCTAATCTAGAAATCAAGTTCTTCAAATTATATTTTTAACTTACTAAACAACTTTAGACCTGGAGCAAGATCTCCAGAGTTATTACTTCTTTTTTTCCCAATTCAGAAATATCTGTATAATGAAGTTAAATTATACAATTTGCTCTTGATTGCCTAGACTCTCCTTAAATTAACACTTAACTTTAGCAAAGAATCTATCTCCTTGATTCAATGCTATACATTAGTGCCTTTTTTGATAATAAGTGCCATTCTAACAGCTGGAAATTATTGTAATGGCTATGGGGAGAGTTTTGCTTCAACCCTAGGAAAACATTATGGAAAACAACAAAGACTGGGCAATTAGGGTTACTACATTCTTTGCTTTAAATTGTCATTCTTTGGTTCCACATTCATTGTCTACATAGCAAAACGAGTGCCAAAACTATCATTTTTTAATGTTTCATGGATGTCATTGTGGTTTAAATCTGGTCACAAAAGACCTTTCTAAGGAGGTGAGGATTAAACTGAGATCTGAAGGATAAGAAGAAATCAGAAATGAAAGTAATGCATTCCAGGCAAAGGTAACAGGGAAAAACAAAAGCTCTGAGGTGAAAATAAGCTTGGTATATTCTAGAAACTAAATGACAGTGTAACTGGAGTTGAGTGAACAAGGGAAAAGTTAGGGGATATGAAACCAATGTGTGTAGGATCTTTTTTGTTTTTACTTTATTTTTGAGGATAATTGCTGTACAAATTTGTGTTGGTTTCTGCCATACATCAACATGAATCAGCCATAGGTATACATAGGTCCCCTCCCTCTTGTCTGTGGAGGATCTTGATGTCAGTGTTGGGGATGTTAGGAGGCTGTAGCTGTAATTCAGTTTGGAACTGATAATACCTTAGACGGGGATCAGAGCAGGGAGAGGAAAGAAGTGGGGAGATAGATTTTGGAGACAAAGCTAGGTGATAATTCAGTGTGAGAAACAAGGAAGAGTCAAGGTTAAATTCCGGATGTCTGACATTTGTAACAGGATAAATAGCAGTGTCATTTGCAGAACTCAGATAGACTGGAAGAGAACTGGCATTGGAGGGGGAAATCAGGTAGTTGGAAAGTTAGGTGAGAGGAATGCTATAAACCCAAATCCTATTCATTCTGGATCCAAGGGATCTGCACCTCTCATTCCTTTAAAATAAGAACCAGTAAGCATCTTGCAAATCAGTTACCACAAAAGGGTGGAATTAGAAATAAAATCTCTTTCTAAAGTACTCAGGTGCAAAAATGAAAATTTATTATAGCAGTCTTGAGTGTGTGTGTGTGTATGTATGTGAGTCGCTCAGTTGTGTCTGACTCTTTGAGACCCAATAGACTAATTTTCTAGATATTAGAAATTTTATTAGAAAGATTAATAAATATTATATTAAAATCTAATATAAAAATATTAGAAACAATATTTCTAGAATATCTACAACCAGAATATTACAGTTCCCAGTATTATAACACATGAAATTATCAGGAGGCAAGCTGTGTTGTGGGACCATATTACAAAAGCCTGAAGCAGTTTATTTTTTTGTTTCAGCCATAAATGAGTTGCAAAGTTGTCCAAATACAGTTTAATGTGCAGTTGAGTCAATTCAGGTGACACTGAGAAAGAAGTTTCTAATGACAATATTGGCATTCTCTCTGTGTATTTTACCTAATAGAAAATTACCTTTATAGTCTAGAGGAATGTTGTACTAGAGTAGTTCATACCAGCATATAATGCCACAGTGAATTATATAACAAGGAATATAAAAAACTAAACTTTTATATCTCTAATGTCAAGAAAAAATGGTGAAGTTAAAAAAAGGCAGTCATATCAGTCGTTTGATAGAAGCCATAAGAACAACAAAAGACTGATTTTTTTCTAATGAATTTTTGGCCGCTTATAAGTATAGCTTTGATTTCCTAGTCTAAGAAGCTTGGAAATTGGAAGCATTGTTTCATGAGTTTAGAGCATTGCTGAATTAGTAAAAATAAAAAACTGGAGTATATTTTTAAAGAAATACTGTTTATTAATACCAAGAACAATATGTGTAATAAGTCATACTGTCACCTGGCTTAATTGAATAAATAAGAAAAATAGGAAAATAGATTATCAGCTTATCTGCAAATGTGAATGTGAAAGTTCTGAAAGATGTTTGAAAGTTGCTTTCTCTCTTAAATATTTTTAAATCTCCCCTGACAACTGATTTGTCCTACTAATTTGTACTAGGTTAGAAATATCTGCAAAGCAAAAGGATAAACTTCAGTGGAAACTCAGTTTGAATGGAAACAAATTCTGAATTAAGGGACTCCAAATGAATGCAGTTTTACTATGTTTTAAATTATTCCAAGATAGAATGTTTTATTAGGATATAACTTTATTATTTTTGACTTGGATAAATAAAGAAAATAACACTAGTTCTTAGTGTTAAGAAAAAGGGGTAGTTAAAGACTAATTCAAAAATTGTAATGAAATTATGTATGGTGTACGCCTCCTTCCCTGGATTGACTTCTTTATGCCTTCCATTCTGTTTATCTCACTTAGCATGTTGACATTTATTAATATATTATATTTCTAATATAATCAAATATAAAACCAAGAAACAAATTCAAAACATCAAAAATATTATTGTTCTTTTCATCCCTCAAAAAAGGTGGAAGAGAAGAGATGAAAAATATAAACTTTCTGGATCATTTTAACACACTCAGAGTGTGTTATATTTTAAATTTAAAGGGGGATTTTTTTTTGCCTTTCAATAATAGTCCTCATCTTTTTAGTACTTAAGTTATTCCTTTTAGACTGAAAGATCATCTTGTCTCTTTTTTCCCCCTTTTTGGTTTATACATAAAAATTCAATTATGTGCTTTCCTTATTGATACAAATATTTACTAAGATTTAGGAGTTTTTTGGTTCTGTTTTGAATTCTGAAACTTGTTTTATCATCTCCTATTCATTCTCCTTCCCTTTCTCTGCATTTTTCTATTCTACTTTTTTTTTTTATTCTCGTCTCTCTCTCCCTCTCTCTCGCACACACACACACTTTTTCTATTATACCCATGCTTCAAGTTTCTAGAAACCTCCTTTAGTCATTCTTATATTAATTTTCTACTTGTTTGTCATTTTTTTCAGTCTAGTCTTGAAAAAGACATCTGGTTTCTATTCCAATCAGTATTCCTCTGAGAATAACCTTCATATTATAGAAGACAAACAATTCTCAAATAACCCATAATGATGCAACCTCTGGTAATTTAAACTTATATTCAATAATTTTAGAAGAGCTATTCATGTATTCTAACTTGGCAGGCTTTTCTTTTTCATTTAAGATAAAGTTTATGGAGGTGGGGTTTGTATGGTTAATCATTTAAAGCAAGTTAATATTTGGAAACTTATTCTTTCAAAATGAGAAATCTTGGAAACCAAACATGGAAAATGATTCACTCTTCTCATTAGCAATTCATTTTGAGAGTTCACAAGTTAAATGACACATACAAAGTGTTATGGGAGCAAGAAGATAGCAAAGCCTAGGTACTGAAAAAAGAAGACAAAAAATTGGAACCGCTAAGAAACAGCAAATAAATGAGAAATTACTAAAAGCTGCCAGCTATACAGTGTGAGAGGATATGGTGTTTTAGAGGTAATATGGAACAATTGGCCTGTGATGAGCTTTCACCATTCAGATGTTATCTTTGCAATCAGATATACCTAGATTTGAACTACTGTCATTCTTGTTGACTGGGGGAGAAAAAGCACAACATAAGAGTTGTGGGTTAAGTTTTATTTGGGGCCAAAGGAGGACTATAGCCTGGGAGACAGTCTCAGATAGCTCTGAGAAACTGCTCCCAAGAGGTTTGGAGGAGAGGACTCTATATATACAAAATTAGTGAAGAGAGTATATCCAGTCAAGCACACATTTTGGCAGAAGTTGCTGTTGTCACCAGGAGCAGATGTCCATTATTGATTTTAGTGCTTTTCTAGATATGA